GCAGCATCACACTGAAGGCTCATGTTCATCTTGGGGTCAGTGATGACCCCCAAGTCCCTTTCATGCCGAGCCTATAAGCATGCTGCAGGTTTTTCCTCCCAAGGTGGAGAACCTTGCATTTTTCGGTGTTGAACACCATCAGGTTCTTGTCTGCCCATTTCATGAGCCTGTCAAGATCCACCCGGATCACCCTCCTGTCCTCAGGTGTGGATGCTTTACCCCAGAGTTTGGTGTCATTGGCAAACTTGGCCAGTCCACTTCTGACACCAATGTCCACATCATTGATGAAGATGTTAAATAGCATAGGTCCTAGGACAGAGCCTTGTGGGACCCCATTGATCACAGCGCACCAAGACAATTGGCTCTGTCGACCACCACCCTCTGGGTCCTACCGCGGAGCCAATTCCCCAGCCAGCAGATCGTGGTGAGGTCGAGGCCACAGTTAGCCAGTTTAGCCAAGAGGTGATCATGGGATACCAGATTGAAGGCTTTTTTAAAGTCAAGATATACAACGTGAATCTCTTCCCCCTTGTCCAGGTGATAGGTCACCTGGTCATAAAAGAAAATGAGATTGGTCAAACAAGACCTACCTGCAACAAACCCATGCTGGGTATCCCTCAGGTTATTGCCTTCAGCTAGTCTGTTAAGGATGGCCTCTTTGATAATCTTTTCCACGACCTTCCCCAGGATAGAGGTCAGGCTGATGGGCCTGTAGTTAGCCGGATCTACTTTCCTCCCTTTCTTGAAGATAGGCACCACATGGATCTTCTTCCAGTCATTGGGCACTTCACCAGTGCGCCAAGAGCTCTCAAAGATCCACGCCAGTGGCTGAGCTATGACTGATAAATTACATACAAACATAACAATGATAAATTAAATGTTATCTTTCTTAACTATTTCAAGGCTTATCTTTTTTTTTTGCAGAAGTACTTAATATACTTACTAAACAACTCAATAATTTCTTGATCAGCCTTTGCTACCAAAACCTCAATAGCTCTCTGCCAGCTTCCAAAATCTCCAGCAGTCACCTGTCTGCCTCCAAAATACAGTTGTGCGTTGTCAGAACTAAAATCTAATCTACAATGCATCGAAAATTTAAGTACATAGTAAAATAAATCAAATTGAAATAAAAACAACACAGGAAATACTGTGCTGATTCTATTTGTCATGGTCACATTTCATTCCATAAAGCCTTCCATTTTAAAAACATTAATGTGAAAGCGGTGTGTAATTTATGGTCTATAGATCTAAAATGATATGAAATCCATGGGTCCTTGCTGTGGAATTCAGGTCTAGGTTGCCATAAAGTACATGAAATCTGGACTTCAATATTATGGTCTGGAACTGAATTGGTAAATTATATGAAAGAGATAGTTGCACTTCTGTGATACTGTTTATACATTTGATTGTTTTTATACATGTGACTGTAAGATACCTTGATTCTTAGCCATATTTTCCAATACTGCTCTTAAGGAATTCTGACTCCGACTATAAAAACACACAAGTGAGTAATACCCCTGCTTGCTCCAAGAGTTACTCAAGTCTATGCATGAAGCAGCAAGAGATACCATTCATATGGTTTGGGAATGGGTGATGGCATGGCCCCACCTCACTGGTTGTTGACTGAAGTAACTAAACCAGGGGGTGGGGGAAGGAGAGAGTAATTTACTATTGGTTTAGGTGCCAAAATAGAAGTTAGGCATCAAAATATCCTTGAGGATCAGGGCCCAGATTGCTATTTTCAGGTATGAGGGGTTCTGTTGAAGTTAGCTGCGCTCCTAAAAGAAAGAAGGTTTCACTTTTTTCATGGGATGAGTTGTCACATCACAATATATTTACTGCCTACATATTTAATAAAAAGCCTTGATGTGAAACATCTTATTGTTGTTGTATGTCTTTGGTGCTGCAGGGAAGTTGTTTGCACTTGGATCCAGGAACAGCTCTCAGGGTCTGGATCTAGCAGCAGCTCAGAAATCATGTGCTGACCTGGGTGCTCGATTAGCCACCGCAGAGGAACTGAGGCGGGCTGTACTGGACTGTTCTTTCGCTGTGTGCGCCAGAGGCTGGTTGGCTGACGGTACCATTGGGTAAGGAGAACGGAAACGGCAAACTCCACCCTAACTAGCATGAATGACTTGCTCTCAAACACGTTTTCTCCCTTGGGTAATATTATTATTGAGAAACACTGGCTATAAAGAGAGCCTTATGCAACCAAGTCTCAAATGCTGCATTCAAAGATAAGCTAAATAAGCTGTTACCTTGCACAACATCAATCAAAAACAGCTGATGTTGCAGACCTGTGAATGTACCTTGGTCTTAAATCACATCACACATGATACTAAGATTGTTCCTTCTTTTTTTCCCTTTGAAATCTGTTATCTCGGCTAAATTTCCTCTGGGTCACACTGTATCTTATTTAAACCCAGAAAACAGTCTGTGTAATGTCTATTATTATTTGCTTTTATTTGTTGAAAGCTGACAGCACACTGAACCCCAGAAGAAATGTATAGTTTATGGATGCAACCCTGCTCCACTTAAATCCAATGTCTTCATAGACTATCTTAGTGCAGGACTTGGCTCTGTGAACAAAATAAATAATCAGGGTTTGAGTCAAAACTCACCAAAGTCAATTGGGCCAGGCAAAGTAAATTTGTATTTGTTATTATTTTGTATTATTTATTACTTATTTATCATGCACAAAGGTGTGCCAGGTTCCTCACAGAAATAAAGAGAAGGATCTGGTCCTGCCCTGCCCTATTTTTATATGAGGTGATGAGTAAGGGTAACAAAGACTGAAAAGGGTCATTTGTTTCAACGGTATGATCACAATGTGTCTCAGTTCAGGCATGAGTAAATCTTGACAATTTATATACTATGTTCACTGACTTATTGTAGGGTTTGGGAAGAACAAATCAGGGACTGGGATTCAAGATTCCTAATTTTTTTCTGGGTTCTGACACTGACTGATTTTGGAAGATCATTTGTACCTAATTTTTGAAGGGTGATTTTACAGCTCATATATTTTAACTAAGCTATCTAATCTAATCTAATTTATTTAGATGCCTAGACCTGGTTTAGATGAACAGAGTTGAAAACTGTGGTACTACCTCTCTGTGCCTCTGTTTTCTCCATAAAAATATAATACTTATTTCTTTTCAGGAAAGTTGCATATAGAAATCAGTAAAGGATTTTGTGAACCTCATACAGAAGGTGATTCAAGAATGTGAATCATTTAGATTATTAGAGAAATTTCATTATTTTATATATTGAATTAGACATACCTTTTGAGAATATGCCTTTCAAAACAAGTAGGGTGTTTATACATGTGCTCCAGGAAGGGGGGAGAGCCAGGGCTTTAATTAAAGTGGCTCTCAGAGCTGCTCTGATTAAAGCACCCTCAGTGTCATGTGTATTCAGCATCCCATGCTTCAAAGTGGTGGCAGGGGCACTTTAGCTAAAGCTTGTTCAACGAGCTTTGTTTAAAGCACCCTCACCACCATTTTGAAATGCAGGGATGCTGAATACTAGGGCTGTGTGAATCAGTCGCTGATTCAATTTGGCAGAGATTCAGCCTGATTCAGTAGCCAAATCTCCAAATCCTAACTGAATCGGGAAACCCTTTAATCAGAACCCTCTGAATCAATGCGGAGAGATTCAGAAAGATTCAGCAATTCAGACATAGACACAGATTTAAATGGTTTTTCTACATACCTCAAGGTACCAGGCGCCTTGTAAACGCTGTGATGGTGGGGCAGATGATGAGTCCCACAGGAGCATGCGGGGCTCCCCAGCACACTCAGCTGCAGACCTGGAAGTGGACCAAAAGCACTTTCGGTCCACTTTCAGGTCCGCCAGGGAGAGCACAGGCCCAGCCCCCCGCACCTCCCTGGCTTAGCGACTGGAGCCTCCTGGGTCTGGGGGGGTACCTGGGGTCCCCCCATGGCCAATTGCCAAGCTGGAGGGGTGTGGGGGAGCCCCCTAGTGTGTTCTCCGGCAGACCAGGAAGTGGACCGGAAGTAGTTCCAGTCCACTTCCAAGTTCGCTGCCGAGCACATGGGGGGCCCTCCCGTGCTCCTGTGAGATGCTCAATCCACCCCAGCATTGCAGCATTCATGAGCCATGCCTGGTACCTTGAGGTATGTAGATAAAATGTTTAAAGCTGTGTCTGGCCGAATTGCTGATTCTCCGAATCAACATTGAATCTTCAGATTCAGATTTAGCTGAATCGAATCAGGACAGTGATCTGAATCAATGAATTGAATCACTGTCCCTGATTTGGGCTGAATCTGAATCCGGATCGAATACAGTCTACTGAATACACATGACAAAGGGCTGCTGGAGTATGCTAATTAGCATGCTCTAGCAGATGCACAGCAGACTCGATTAATCAAGTCTGCTCTGCCATGTGCTAGTTAGCATATGTTGGAGCAGAGGTGCATCATGTGTATAGGTGCTCATAAATGTTTTCAAAGTAAAAAATTGGATTATTCTGATTATTCCAGAAAAGGTCGTCGTTCCTCAAGGGAATGATCCTTTGGGCACAAAAGCAAACAATCTCATTGCACATAAAGGGTGGCAGAGGGGCCAGGAAACCCTCTGGGTTGAACAGGGAAAATCCAGGAAAGCCTGGGTGCAAAAAAAGAGGAACATGGATAAAGACATATCTCCCAGTTGGATTATAGACAGGCACAAGAGGGACACCAGCCCACCAACAGTTAGTGCTGACCTAGTGAAGGGACACTTGGAGGGGCTGGACATGTTTAAGTCAGCAGGCCCAGCTGATCTTTATCCAAGGGTGCTGAAGGAATTAGCCAGTGTCATAGCAGAACCACTGGCAAAACTATCTGAGCACTTGTGGCGCTGAGGACAGGTCCCAGATAACTGGAAAAGGGCCAATATGGTCCCTATTTTCAAGAAAGTGGAAAGGAGGATCTAGGTAACTATAGGCCGGTTAGTCTGACCTCACTCCTTGGGAAAACCTTTGAAAAAATTATTAAGGATCATATTTGTGGGATCCAGCAGGAAAAATAATGCTGAAGTGCAACCAGCATGGATTCATAGCTGGTAGATCCTGCCTGACTAACCTTGTTTCTTTTTATGACCAGGTCACAAAATGCTTAGATGCAGGAGTTGAGGTAGATGTCATCTACAAGGATTTTAAAAGGCCTTTGATACGGTGTCTCGTCCCATTCTTATAAATAAACTAAGCGGCTGTGATGTAGATGATTACATGGTCAGGTGGGTGGCAAGTTGGCTTATAGGATGCATACAGAGAGTGGTGGTGGATGGTTGGTATTGACCTGGAAAGATGTGGGCAGTGGGGTCCCCCAAGGTTCGGTCCTTGGACCAATGCTGTTCAATATCTTCATCAGTGACTTGGATGAGGGTGTGGAGAGCACTCTGTCCAAATTTGCAGATGCCACCAAATTATGGAGCAAAGTAAATACAAGGGTGGGCAGAGAACAGATTCAGATGGATTTGGACAGGTTGGAAAAGTGGGCAGAACAGAACAGGATGCAATTTAACAAAGATACATGCAAAGTACTGCACCTAAGGAGAAAGAATCACCAACACACATACAGATTGGGAGATGACCTTCTAAGTAGCACAGTGGCAGAAAGGGATCTTGGAGTCATAGATGAATGTGAGTTGTCAATGTGATGAAGTGATAAGCAAAGCTAACTACACTATATCATGCATTAGAAGGTGCATCACAAACAGGTCTAAGGAGGTAATAGTTCTCCT